GTGGTGCTCACCCTGCTCACAGTGGTGCTCACCCTGCTCACAGTGGTCGACCCCTTCACCACCTCTGTCTTTTCAGTCTGCTACTTCTGACAGAATTCTCTCATTTTTGTCTCTTGACATAGCTAATAATTTTTTATTGTATGCTGGACATAGTGGACATCATTACAGAATGTCTGAATTTTTAATGGAGCATTGATTAGCTTGATTGTGTGTGTGTGTGTGTATGTGTGTGTGTGTGTATTGTATATCTGGGTGTTTCTGCACACATATACATGTGGAGGTCAGAGGTCAATGCCCTGGGCCTTTTTCTGTTGCTCTCTACTCTGTCTGGATTTTACAGAGGTGCTGGGGTTCGAACTCAAGATTTCATAAGTACATGGCAAGCACCTTACCAACTGAGCCGTCTCCTCAGACTTAAGATTTATCCTTCAAAACTGCCCTTTAATTTTCCAAGTGTAGAACAACTCCTGGGCTGGGCCTCTGCAGAGAGCAGTCCCTTTGAGTGAATGCATGTGTGGGAAGTCCTGTGTGAGCTTGTCTGTACATTAGTCCTGATTCCAGAACTGTGGCTTCCTTCATGATAACACTCACACTGGAACCTTCCATCTCACTGTTGTGGGATAATCTTTTTGTATACTGTGAAGAGGTATCTCTGACTAAGGTGTCTTCTGATTGGTTTAATAAAGAGCTGAGTGACCAATAGCTAGGCAGGAAAGGATGGGCAGGACTTCCAGGAAAAGATTGGAACTCTGGGAGAGAGTTTGAGGTGGGGAATCACCAGCAAGACGCAGAAGAAGTCAAATGTACAGTACTGAGAAGAGGTATAAACAGGTTAATTTAAGTGTTAAGGGCTTGTTGGGAACAAGCCTCCTAAGCTAAGGCCAAGCTTTCATAATTAATAAGATATCTCTATGTCATTATTTGGGAACTGGTGGTCCAAAGAAAGTCCAACAACGTTTTGGTACCCTTCTGAAAGTGTCTGGTGCCCTTCTGAAAGTGTCTGGTGCCGGGGATCAGTCATGTCTCCACCCTCCTCCTCCCACTACTGTCTGAGAGAAAGGGGGTCCTTCCATCTTCCCCTGAGTCTTCTGCCTGGTTTCACAGTGATCCTCAGCACTAGGACAGGAGGTTGAACTGTGAGCCAGTCCAAGGCTGAAAATCCACTGTGTGGCTAAGTCGCACAGGGTGAGCAAGAGCTGTCCATGTGGACAAGGACAAGGACAGGGTCTGTGAAGTCAACAGCAGCCAAAGCTGCCACATCCCTTTCATCCGTTTCCCAGCCCTCCATCATCCTGCCCTCTCCACTCTCCACCCCTTCCAGCTTCTCAGACCCTGAAGCCCCCTTCATATCCACCAGTGCCCAGCCGTGGCCAGAGCCCAGCATGGCCATGGAGGTCACCCCGCTTCACCTTACCTCACATGGAGACCCACCTGGCATTTCATAGCGCCCTATAAACTCCTAATGCCCCGCAGTGGGCATGACTAGATGCCTTTCCCACCTGGCTGCTGGGTATTTCACAATGGCTGACCCCTTCCCATCCAAATCTCTTAGCGTCTTTCAAGCCACCCCCTTCTTGCTTTGTCTATGTTGAAATTTTTCTCTCTCCTCTGTGGAAACCCAACCCCAGCATAGTGCAGAGTGCGCTTCAGCCTTCTTCCCCTCCTTCTCATCAGCCTGCTGCCCCCAAGTCCTCGGACTGACAAGCCTGACTCCATATGCATGGGGCTGTTCACAGGACAGTATTGAACCTACAGGGTGCCATTCTAGGTCTCTTATGGGAGGATTGCTGGCATGTGAGATGCAGCCCCCTCCCATGACCCTGCTGCCCAGTAAGTTCTCAACATCAGTGCCTTTCTTCATGACCCACACCATGGCTGAGAGCAACTTCCTTCTTTCTCTGCCCAAGTCCATGCAGATAGTTACTGCTCACCCCATAGGGCTCAGCCTAGATCTGTGCACAGGTAAGCAAGGCCTTCTGGGGAGGAGACTGTGTTTACTTTCTCAGAGGCTGTTTTATCTGCTCAGGTGGCTTGGCTCAGTGATCCAGTCTGCACCAGGCAGCAGGCACAGCAAATTACAGGAGAACACCTCAGCCTGAGTCCAGGACTCTGCCCACATTGCCTCTCAGATTTTGTCCAGATCTATGTCTGTCCTCAGTCTCTGAGCGTGTTTACCTGATGCTCATTCGAGACTCCACACAGCAGGTAAAAAGTCTAAGGAATTCCCTGAGCACATTAAAATAAGGCTGGATAAATCCATGCAATTAAGGCCTAGCAAGAAGTTCTGATTTTGGAAGAATAATTTTTTTGAAATAGATCTGGAGTCATAACATCCACTGTAGGGGTTTGTTTGGAGTCAATGACTAATAAAAACGTCACTTCCTGTGATTTTTATCAATTGCAGCAAATGTGCCAGTAATCACCCACTTCAGTTGCTGAACTACGAATGCTGCCTGGAGCCGGGGCTGGGGGCCGCCAGAGGCCTCGAGAGGTAACCCCGCAGGTGGAGACCGACACCAGGCAAACAGCAGCTAAGCATGCTAGAATAGCTCAAGCAGACAAATCTGGACTTTTCCCAAATTTGAGGGTCTGACATATCAAACAGGAACTAGGTAGAAATGACTCTAACAGTAAAACACCTGTCATTTACAGTCTCTAAAGCAACGGGCTTGTTCACCACACCACCTCAGAGATAACGATGGGTGAGGTTCAGCCTGGCATTTATTCCTCCTTTTAAATGAAGACAGCCCAGGGAGAGCTTCTTGTGTCCGCAGGTGACCCCGTGGTGACCTGTCGGTCCCTGCAGTTGCAGAATGAGTCGAGGGCCAACTACGCGCTAGGCTAAGATGTGAGACGCTTTCTGCTCCTTCAGAAATAAAGCGGGAGACACGACTGGACATGACACGGAGTGGGTAGTCTTGGTGATTAATGCCAAGCAAGTTCCACCTTGTTCTGTTTGTTTGTTTTCCTTGGAGGCTGTCTGGAGTCATTGGAGCTGACTGTGTGTTTCGACCCTCCAAGCACTGGTGCAGTCCTCTGCAGCCATCCCTAACCAGCTCTTAGCCAGCGTTCCCTGTCTCTTTCAGATGCCCCGACATCCGCGGTCAGCAGGCATGAGGCTGTGATTCAAGACGAGAGACCCAACGCCTCCTCTGCACATGTGGAGAGGATCCAGCAGGAGGCAGGAAGCAGGGTTCCTGAAAACCAAGCCGCTGAGAGAGAACAATGTGCTGAGGAAATGTGGGCTCCTGAAGGTGCAAAGTCAGTAGAGCAGTATATGAGGGACAGCCTGGGTGCCCACCCAACTCCTAACCCTGGAGGCTGAGCACTGCGCGAACACTCAGGAGCTTTAGGGGGAGCAGTTGGTCCCCAGAAAGGCATCAGCCCAGACCCTTCCTCTGTTTTTCCCTTCTCTGCACGTCTCTGGTTTCACTCCACCTGGGTGTCAGTCAGGTAAGAGCACTAAGTGCCTCCGTCTGCTGCAGGCTGCTACAGTGCAGACCCACCCATGGGCACATGCACACATCTTTCCAAAGACCTGCCACACCTGTCGGGACACAAGCCTGCACAGGTAACTGTCTGCACACAGACACACTTGTACATACCTGCAGCTATACACACATGTACACCCCTACCCACACCTGCTCATTCCTGCATGCACGAACAAACCTGCAGGGATACACACACGTACCTATATGCACCTTCAAGGACACACACACACGTGCCCACATCTGTACAGACATACATACTTGCCCATGCCTACATGAACAAACATACCTGCAAGGACACATGCATGCTCATAGCCACCCACACCTGATCATACTGTTAGAGGCACACACCCTTGCAGGGAAATAATAATAATAATAATAATAATAATAATAATAATAATTGGATAACTTTTCTCTCTCTATGCTTTATCATGTCTCCCCCAGAGATACTTTGTGAGGTCAAAACTGGTCTCTGTGTCTGTCTTCAAGAACACAAAAAGAAATCATTTCTCTGAAAAGAATTTTTAAAATTAGCTTCCATTGGTACAGTCTGACTGGTTGATGTCTTCTGAACTTAGCATAGGTTGAAAATAATGCTTGCTAACGTTCACAGACAGCCAGTGATCTCAATGAGAAGATGTCTCAGAGGTGCACACAGAATACACACAAGGAAGAACTGGACACTAGTCAGACTTGCGAGTTAACTTCCTGTAAATGAGGGCGAAAGGCTGATGCCTCAAGGGACAATGTCACATCATCGGCTCTGGAGATCTAAGTCAAAATCAAAAGCCAACCTTGATCCCAGGTAGCTCGCTTCACTCTGGCACAGGGATGTCTGCGTGGATTTGTGTTTGTGTGATCCATGGGCTTCTTAGACTGCGAAGTTATCACATGCCTTGGGCTCTTTCTGTGATCTGCAAGTTTTCCAGAGAACCCACACTCCCTCCACCTCCACTTGACTATAGCTGATGGGAGTGTATTTGTTTCCCTCAATGAATAACTTGTTGTTGTTTGGTAATTTGAGATAGGGTTTCTCTATGCAATAGAAGAGACTGTTCCCAAACTCACAGAAATCCTCCTGCCTCTGCCTCCCAAGTACCAGGATTAAAGGCACCTGCCACCATATCCAGCGGAATGAATAATTTTAGGATGCACATGCTGCAGCAGCATGGATGCCGTGTCTTCTAACCACACTCTTGTTAGCACAGCTGTTAGCTCATGACAAGTTAACTTTCACAGAACAATGGGCATGTTTTTAAATTATTTTTTTGGCAACTCGTTATAGACTCACTTATTCAGTTAACGAAACCTCTAGTCCTAATGGCCTTGGGTTCTAAGATTCACCTATGAGCCGTTTTTCCCTCTCTGGAGACTGATGCGTCCTTAGTGCGCTGTTTTTCAGCAGCAAGTCATTGGCATTGTTTTCCTTTCTTTCACAGGGATACATGGAATAGAACCGCACCCTGGGCTCGCTGGAATGCAGAGGAAAGGTGTGTACCCATGGAGGTAAGCGCGATATCATCTGTAGTCCTTATGTGATCTAGGATGAAAAATAATTTACGACAGGATCAGCTATCTTCCTAACAGGGAGTTGAAAATTATATCCCCAATCTGAAGCATGGCTTCCTTTTCTCAATACTATTTTGCCACATGTATCTGACAGAGAATGCCCTTTGCTGTCTCCACCACCAGCTGAAAGAGCTACAGACAAAACCCCTAGAATTTCTCCAAGACTGAAGTAAGCCATTGGCTGCATTTAGTTAACATACAAATTGTAAAATGGTCTTGTGTGTTTGCAGTGGATTGCTGTCCAGTGTCCTCTAACTCCCATAGGAACCAACTACCACAATGCCAAGAACTCACTATGACCCTCCACCTGCCACCAGTTTGCCAGCCTGACCCCTCCTGTGTCTGCTGTCTGAGCCAGGAGCTGTAGAGGGAATGGGGCCAGTGGCAAACACTCAGGAATGCTGAGGTTGTGAAGGGGGAAATATATACTGAGATATTATTTGATGGTCATCATCATTGTCACCATCATCGTCATCACACCATCTTCATCACCGTCACCATCATCACCATCATCACCATCATCATCCTCATTATATGATCAGAATTCCAGATAGGAGTATTGGCCCTGTTGGTGCAATGTTAGAAACTGTTCTCCTTGTCTACAAGCAGGTCGTTGTCACACTCAGAAGCCAACACTGTGCTCTCGTGGTGCTAGCCATGTGGTCTGAGGCTGGAGGTGAGGCTGCTTGCATTTCAGCCCCTGCTCTTTACCTCGTCTCGTTTTTCCCGGGACCCTCCTATAGGCGCGATTTAAAGGGAATTACCTATGACTTCAATTATTTGTTTCTTATCAGCTGATGTTAAACTACAAGGATTTGCATTGAACGGACACAAAGAGAGAGCAAGTCACGGCACATGGCCAAATGAAAGAGTGATGTTCTGGCGAATTTAGCCGAAATAATTTACTGCTATATAAAAGTGGGGAAGTGGAAGGTACAGCCTTTGACCAATAAATCCCTGCTGCCCGTGAAACCCTTATCTGGTCCCCTCCGATATATTCCACACAAGGAAGCCATCATCATTGGCTCTGGTTTGTTATTTGTAAAGCTTGATCTTCTGCACCCGGTGTCCTAAATATGGGTAATTAGCATCAGTTTATCGCACTTCTGCATATTTCCCCCACTCTCCAAACACGCGTGCTTCCATTGGCTGCCATTCTGCTACAGGAGATTATGAAGACAGATTGCAGAGAACGAATGTGCTAAACGAGATTAGGAAGGAATAGAAATAGCAACTTGGCCAATAAATTCCTCGTGAGAGCCTTATCATGCAATTACACGTTGACTAGCTTCACACTCTCCCGGCCTCTTAATCCAGTGCCCCCACCAGGAATAAAATTTCACTAATTTCTGAATTGCTGCAGATCCTCCTGACTTGTTACTGAGAGCGGCTGGAAGGCGGTGCTGTTGAAAACATCATGTCAAACTGCTCCATAAAAGAAGTAAACTTTGACTGTCAAGGTGGGTGGCGTGCATTGGGATGTTCAAGCAGCTCGGCATTGCGGAGTGTGCACATACCGTCTGGGTCCTCAGAGTCAGTTAGCTTCTCTTTGAGTCCCACATACTCTCGGTGTGCCAAGTTTGGGGATCGTGCCTCTCCTGGTCTGTCTGAAACAGAGGGTTCCTTTGCGAGTCCACCAACCTACAAAGTGTCTTTAAAAGCAGAACAGTGCCCCAGCTGAGGCTCCATCTTGTTGAGCCCTCGTTCTGGGACAGTCCCTTGACCTCTTTCAGTTCAGTTTCCTCCTTGCTCATACAGGCTGTCTCTTGTCTCTTGTGTGTTCTAGCCCCCCCACTGCACATTAAGGTGTATAAATAGGAAAATTCCTGCCCACTCTGCACTGTAAGAGTGCAACCAAGAACACCGTAATAGGACTTCTACAGGGGGAACGTGATTCTCGTCCCTCCCTGCCTGCTAATGTTATTCTCCCCGGGGCTTTATAATAAGTTAGGTATTTAAAGAGGCCCATTAAGCCTTTCGATCTACCAGGGGACTATTTATAGCTTAGAGCCACAGTCAGACATCGTGAGGCCCCCACAGAAGCGAGGTATTACAGCAAGAACCACACAGGACTGAACTTCTCTTTGCTGGAAGGCATACATGGACATTCAGAACAAACACGAACCGTGTGACTGTGCTCCCCATGCAGGGGGGAAGGAATTAATTAGCTAAGAAAAACCACAGCCACGACGAAGCAAGTTTTTATCTGTAGATCACAGTGTGGCCTCTCCTTTTGTTTCTCCAGTGCATTCCTACAGAGATTTACTGAGTAAAGGATCTCATGAGCAATCCAGAGGAAGGGTTCTAGGTTTCCTTCCTGAAGGTTCCTCACAGGCCACATCCAGAGACGGACCAGCCAGCATCCATGCAGTAAGCACGTATCTGTGCTTCTTCCGCATGAACATGGCATGTGATATTCTAGAACCTGGTTTGCCTACACAAGGAAGAGCCCTCGCTAGATGAGCAACCACCCAGAAGGCAGGTATTCCTGGGCCTCAAGAAGGATGAGTCTTTGCAAGTGGCCTGGTCTTTTGTTGGCTGGCAAGGATTTTGTTTTCCAGAGAGGAGCCTTCACTCATCTTGAGTGGGGGAGAATGAGCCAGGGTCTGTGAGGCACACGGAGATACTTGTCTGAAGGATTCGACTCTTAGGAAATCACAGCACAGATGCCTGAAGCAGAGGGGAAACACCTGCAGCCGCTGCTGCCCTGCAGCCGTCTCTGTCCCTGGAATCACCAAGAACACAGCCTTGGAAGTGGCAGTGTGTCTTCTTGATCCTCTGAAGAGAGGCCCAGGACACCTGTTGCTGAGGGACCAGGGTGGCAGGGCCCCACTGGGCCTGTGTAGAAGGAGCCAAGGCAGTTAGTGGTTTCTCCCAGGAGCCTTCATGCTAGGTTGGGAGTTCTGAACGGCTTGATCCACAGCTCTGCTCAGGCAGAGATGCGCTTCAACCACTAGGCCTAAAGCACACGTGGCCGCTGGAGCTCATCTCAGCAACTGAGAGTGAAGGACCCTCCAGAGCCCCAGAAGACCCCCGCCCGGGGAGTGACATCAGTTGGGGAGCTATTAATAACTGCCCTCCCCTCCCTGTCATATTTCCTGAACTGGTGAGCTTTGTGGAGGGGGTGGAGTAGGAGGGAGCCGCTTGCCATTAATCTGGGAACAAACAGCTAACCCCGGTGACTGGTATTTTCGCTTTTCTTTTCTCACTTTTCTCAGTGTGGGGAAGGCGATTGTGAGGCGCTCTGCTGGAATTTGGCAGCGCGGAGGCTTGGAGAGCAGCCCCATGCTGGCTCCTATTCAGCCGGCCAGTTTTCCTCGAGCTTTGGAAGTTTCACTCAGCCGTGCACTCAATGGCTTCACAAAGCTGATTACAAGCTTCAGCGCATTCCTGAAGGAGCCAAAAGCGACGCAGGTGCAAACGAGCCGAGGGAGCCCCTTATCCCGGTGACAGAATGGGACAAGCTGGGAAAGGCTTGGACCACACAAATCCAAGGCTCACCAGGCAGCAGAGAGCCTGCCTTGGGAACCGGGGGTCATTATCCGCCCTATTCAGCGGGGCTCGGGACCCCGGGGCCAGGGAGGCCGGCCCAGCGCAAGCACCACAGTCAGTGTGCGCCCGCGGCAGTGGGGACCCCGCTGGGCGCTGCAGCCCATCGGGATGTTGGGCGCTGTGTTTGTTCCCACCGATAGCGATCCGTGAAATCTATCTTGCTCGTGAAAGCTGGTGTCCACGCTAAGGGGGATACAGGAGAACCAAGGTGGCGAAGATGCTTAACTTCGATTATCGAGGTTGCATTGAGCTGTTCCTGCCGCAGGCCACTCTCAGCTCCCCACCTCCAAGTCCTGAAACCCACCCCACAACTCGTCTTCGTTTTTCCTGTCCTACGGAGAGCGACCTCCGCAAAGGGCGGTGGGAGGGACAGTGGCCAGTGACCGTGAAGGAATGGATCACCAGGTAGTCCTGTGCACCTAGCAGGGCAGTGGAGAATAAGGAGCCACGTCTAGGGTAATCAAATAACATTCCTGCCAGCGACGAAAGGACTACCGGCTGCGGGGACAGGCTGGCCCGGCGGCATAGAGCTTGCGGAAGGGACTAGCGCGGGACCAACTGAAGTGAGACCGCTGGAGTTCAGAGGCGGGCTAATCCCACCCCGTAGGCAGCCTCTTCCCACCGTGGCCAGGTCAGCACAGCACGAGTGACACCAGTCTAGTCCCCCTCTGAGTCCTCCCACTCCCCGCCCCACGTCGCGAGGTCTCAGCCCAGTCCCACGGTTTGCCCGGCTGCACCCCGAGGTGCCCACGTGCAGGGCGCGGGCGGGCAGGGCGCGCTTGCCGACGCTCTTTTGTCTGATAACTAATTTGAGTTAATGCGATCTTTATGTAAAGCTAACAGCGGATAATTGTCTATTTTCTCGCCAACAGTCTCCATCGCAGTCACTTATCTGGAAACCTGCGGCTGGATTAATCGCTATATTCCCAAGATGAGCGGCGCGGCAATCCGCAGTGTAACACGGATGGGAACTCGGAAGCATCATCCCCCGGGGTCTCGCGGTGCCAGCAGCCGGTCAGCTCCCTGCAGATCTGAATGCGGCACCGTTGCTAGCACCTGTTTGGGCTCGGGTGGGGATGAGCAGGCACAGATGTGCGCAGAGGATGTGGGAGAGAAGGCGACAGACCTGTGGGGACCCCGGCCTGGAAGAAACACAGAACTGCCTGTGGTTTATTCCCGCTTTTGACTTGACAGAAATGTTGCTGC